GTGAATAATGGTGTGCATGTGTCCTTTTCATTGACTTTTGTCACTTCATGTAAATGCCTGGAGGTCTTCGTGTAAATGCCTGGAGGGTCACACCCACCAACTGGCGCCCTGGTGCCGTGCAATCCCAGCAATGGCCAAGACTCAGAGACTATAAAAACCAGTTCCCGGAACCGCGCAGCCGCATTCAACATCCTATTATGACATCTTATTATCTCATTCCTACTTTGACAAACTGGCAGGCTCCCGAATGTAGCCTGCCCACACGGCAGAGTCTGGCAAACTCCTCGTGGCGTACCCAATATGCCAGATACCAGTAACAATGATGAGTCTCATTCTCCTAAAGAGCCTTGAATATAATCTCAGGGCTAGGATGAAGGAGACGTTACTGGGGCCTGCTCGAGGCAATCGACGATTAACAGGATGATTTGTGATTTGTGTTTTTTGTGCATGTAAATGCCAGGAGTGGAATCACTATGTCATATGGCAGGTTCACTCTTAATTTTTTGATAAATCTTTATACTCTTTTCCATATGGGTATAAGCAGATATTATTCTTACAAGCAATGGACAAGAGTTCCTTTTTCATTATATCCCTGCAAAAACAGATAATTTCTCATTTTTTGTATGTGCCATTTTCACTGGTTTAAGATGGTAGCTCATTATCATCTTGATTTGTACTGCCCAGATAGAAGACGATAATCAGCACTTTTTCATGTGCCTTTGCCATCTGCCTTCTTCACAGAATTTAGAAAAGTTCTGGTTGTTAAATGGAGTTTTTTTTTTGCATTTTGATAGGGCTTTTTGAAATTATTGTTGTTGATTTTTTTCTTATAAAATGGCATTTTAATTATTTTTAATGTTACAGACTTACGACTTTCATGATTACATTTTAGTCATACAACGATCAAATACCCATCCTTCCACCAGTGCCCATTCTCTCTACCAGTGTTCCCAGTAACCGTCCAGCAACCCCCACCATCTATCCTCTGCCTCTGCAGCAAGCATATTCTCTTTTACACTATCTCTCTCTTCTTTTGAGTGTTACGGTTTGCAATGCACATAATAAGTGTCCATCATGTTCTGTCCATAGTCTATTTTCAGCACACATCTCCCATTTTGAGCAAGCCTTTCAAGCCTTCCAAGCATCGTTTACTTAGTGGTCCCTTCTCTATTCTAGATATGGAGGAATCCTCCTGGCCCTTATCTCTATTATCCTTGGGTATTAGTCTCCCATTATGTTATTTTATATTCCACAAATGAGTGCAGTCATTTTATGTCTGTCCCTCTCTCTCTGACTCATTCATTTAGTATGGAATTCTCCATGTCAATCCACTTATATGCAGATTTCATGATTTCATCTTTTCAAACAGCAGCATAGTGTTCCATTGTGTAGATGTACCAAAGTTTCTTTAACCAGTCATCTGTTTTTGGGCACTTGGGTTTCTTCCAGTAACGTCTCCATTGGAGACTTTGTTGTTACTGTGTCTGGCATATCAAATACTCTCGGTAGCTTGCCGGGCTCTCCGAGAGGGGCGGAGGAATCGAACTCGGGTCGGCCATGTTGGCCGCTTGTAAGGCGAACGCCCTACCCTATGTGCTATCGCTCCAGCCCGGGTTTCTTCCAGATTCCGGCTATTTTGAACAGTGGTGCAATAAACATATAAGTGCAGATATCATTTCTGCTGCATTTTGTATAGTAATTTCACATGGTATCTTTTATCCTGCATGTTCTGTGTCAATTCCTAGCCTTTCATGTCTAATCAATATATATGTATATATATACATATATGTATATAATACACACAGACATATATTATAGGTTTTGAGACCACACCCAGTGATGCTCATGGGTTCTTTCTGGTTCTTTGCTCAAGGATCAATCCTACCGGTGCTCAGGGACAATATAGAAAGCCTGAGATCCAACCAACATTCAGTGTATGCAAGCCAAGCTCCTTACTTGTTATACTATCTCTTTGACCCCACTTGAATCACATTTTTTTGGAAATTTTCTCTTTTATTTATGAGTCTAGCCAAAGGTTTGTCTTTCTTGTTTTTTCTTTACATGACGTTGCTAGTTTCATTAGCTCTGCACTGATTTCTTGATTTCTATATCATTGATTTTTATTCTACTTTTTAAAATTTCTCCTTCCACTAGTTTTGGCATGTCATTTGTGGCTGCTTCAGAAGTCATGTGTTTCCTTTGGGGAAGGAATTTCAAAATGATTCTGGGGTGAAGAATTTGTTGTTCTTTACTCCTGGGCATTCAGAAGGGAGCTGTCAGAGAGGATACATTATGGTTGTTGTCTACCATCTTTTTTTATGAACTGGGGAGATGAGCCCAAATATAATTTTGAGTTTGGAAATGGAAAGATCAAAATAATGAGCACCTGTACTCAATATCGATTTTCATACGTAGACTTCTGGTACCCGTGAAGAACTTTCTCACACAATTCAAAGATTTTTTTCAAGTTGCATATACGTAGAATCATCAAATTTAAAGAAATTTGGCAATTGCTTGATTTCCATTTGCCTCCAATAAAACTTCTATTACTAAGGTACAGTGAGATGTGAATATGTGATCTCTTTCAGGCTCTTAAATTAAACGATTCAATAATATTTTCATAAATTATTTCAGTATCTGATACCTTGAAATGTTAAGAAAAAGATTTTATCATTAAATAAGTACCTTTGGTTTCATTAATCCACCAAATCAGATGACTAGCCTCATAGAATGAATGCAAGATCTAAGGGTACTGTCATTATAATCAGGTTGCTTTGCATCCTAATTCTTGAAGTCTATAACTGGAACTTTTAATAGTGATTAAATTTTGTTCTTAGTACTCCTAATATTATGAGGACAAAACTTGTTGGGTGTGAATAGCTGAGTATCTATTATCTTGTTTAAATTGTTTGAAGACTGATATTTTTAATGCTATACATTAATGCCTTTCTATTTACTGTACTAGAATTTATAAGTCTACAATAGATAATTGTTTCCTCTGTCCACTTCCCAAGTCCTTAACTTTTGATCTCCTTGTTATCTTTCTAAGCAATGGCCTAGTTCTTCAACTCCAAATCTTTAATTTTTGTTTTTTTTCCAATAGCCATTTCCTCCCAAGTTCTATCATTGTTATCATGTTGTTGGCTATTCCACTTCTCATTTCACAGAACCTGTGAAACTGTGACTAATGTAATCATTTCTTGGCTATTTTTATTACTGCTGCAATACTTTTAACACCTAGTCAGTAGGTGTCAGAAGAATAAACAGTATTAGGGACTGCTCCTAGGACAAGAACCAGAACTAGAAATTAATATACTATCTAGATGTTTTGTTGTTCTTATTGTTCTACATATGTTTAATTATGGTTTAAAAATAATGATAAATGCCAAATTGTGTGCAATGAGATCACTCCATGTAGGGCTCAGGGGACCATGCAGTGTCAGGGACCGTACCAAGGATTTCATGCTCTAACCCTTTGCAATATCTCCCTGACCCCGGACTCATTTTACTTATTTAATTTCGTTTATTTACTTTTGCTTTTTTGGGCCACATCTGGCAACTATAAAAAATGGGACATCTTTTTGGCCGCGCAACGTCTTATTATCTCATTCTTACTTCAGACAATCTGGCAGGCTACCGAACGTAGCCTGCCCACACGGCAGAGCCTGGCAAATTCCCCGTGGCATACCCAATATGCCAAATGCCAGTAACAATGATGGGTCTCACTCTCCTAAGCCTGAAAGAACCTTGAATATGGAACTTTTTAAAATCTCAGGGCTAGGATAAAGGAGACGTTACTGGGGCCTGCTGGAGGCAATTGACGAACAACAGGATGATCGTGATCGTGAAGAGATAGGAAGAGGCTTTATTTGCATGATTTAAAAATATTACCCCAGAATTTTAGGTATTAAGTGAAGTGATACCATAATAAGTGCAATGAGTGATGAGTGAATGAATTGAACCCCATAAATGAGCAAAATCTCAGTCAGAAATGAGAATGAGTGAAACTCAATTCAGAATATTTCTTACAAAGGGCCTGAAGCAATAATACAGCAGGTAAGATATTTGCCTTTCACATGGCCAACCCAGGTTCGATACCCAGTACGCCATAAGTGCAACAAGCATTATCTTGAGCACAGAGATGGGAGTATGCCCTGTGCATTGCTGGGTGTGGCCTAGAAACAAAACAAAACAGGAACATCTCAAATATAAATGAAGTTGCTATTAACCAAATCAACTAATAAGAAGGAAGACACATCTCTGGCATTAGTAACATCAGGAATATGGTCACTGGAGCAACGGCAGAAATCTTTTATTCTTCCTCTTCTCTTTGACTGAGGAATCTCTTTTCTCAAGAAAAATTTCCTTTGCATATATCATCTCTGATGCTCACAGTGAAAAGCTTTGCCATTCAGTGGGTATTAGAATTCTTTCCTGAGTTCCATCAAAACATGCGACAGAAAAGCAGGTGAACAGTCATATGGAGAGAACTTGTGTGTTTTTTCTCTCTGAACCATGCCAAATCTCCACCTAAAACTAAATTAATCAGCACAGAAAGCAAGTCTAGAACCCCATTTATAAAAGTTCTGACATCAAGAACAAGAAGGAGAGCACCCTAAGAAGTCAAAGTGGAGACATCCTCACTAACACAGAAACTTGAACATCATGTAGTAATGGATATTCAAGAGAAGAACTCTAAGGTGTAGAACTTTGTACGGGAAAGTTAGGGGTAGAGGATGTACCATACACAGGTATCCCTATCCTACAGTCCTATATTTATTACACTAGAACAGGAGATAAGAAACTGTAGAATAAAAATAGGAGCTGTAGTCACCAACAGATACCATCTTGATGGCTGTTATAACTATTAGTCTCAATGACAGCACTGCTAATGGATAACTTTTTCAAATTTAAATTTTTCAAATTTAAATTTAAGAGGAAGGTACATAAGTTCTTCCTCTTCCATCAATGCTCTGACAAACCCAAACCCATCTGCATGGAAATTTCTCAGTGAAAATACCAGCTTTATCAACCCAAAGTCAAAAAACCAACACTGCCCAACACTGGATTTCTGTCTCACTGCCCTTCAACACCCAGTAGGATGTGCTACTGTGTGCAGATTTGATGCAGTATCCTGATGAATTATATTTTGGAGCTCATTCTCCATAGTAACATATCCTGAAGGAATACTTCTTAAGTGAATACTTCCACTTATCTCTGGTTGGGAGGGGGCCGGTGAAGAAAAAACAAACAAATTAAAAAAAAAAAGCTGGGCCAGTTGAAAGCCAAAAGTATTTATATCTAACAAACAAAATGGGCACTGGTGGAGGGATGGGTATTTGATCGTTGTATAATTGAAACCCAAGCACAAAAATTTGTAAGTCTACAACTGTACCTCATGGTGTTTCACTAATAAAAATTTAAAAAAATTAAAAAAAAAATAAACAGACCCAAACTCTGCTAGTCCATATCTGCTCCCTATAGACTTAGAGATTTAAAGAATTACCTGTTAGCATGGGTATCCATTGCCTGCTATGCTTCCTTATTGGCCTGTGGCCATTCAAACTGTGTTCACTGTCTTCTCCCTGACTGACCTTTGTCACCAATTAATACCCCAACGTCCTATTAAACTCATCTTGCTACAAGTTTCCAAACCACTGCCCAAGCCTATTTAAACAAGAAAGTCTAGTATTCACCATAACTGCAATCTTGAGCATTTTCTTAGTGTCTAGCCTGCTTGAACCCTGTCCCACAGTCGTCTGTGTGCCTGAATTTTACCAGTTGATTAAAATTTAATCAAATTTACTGATTAAAAGAGTTGAACAGTATTACTTTGCAAAAGCAAATTCCAATGTGAACCCAAAAATAGATGCATATCTAGATACTTTATATGTAAAAATGTCAAAATCCATGATAAATAATTAAAGAAAAATTAAAATTAGTGAGAGAAAAGAAAAAAACTCACATATAAAAAAAGCCCTATGAAACTGTCAGCAGATTTTTTAACTCAATCCAACACTTATTTATCTAATCTCTAATTGTTAATCAGTTGATCTGTTGATGTACCTTATTGAAAAGAATTAATTCCATTATATTTTAGCTAAACTATATAGAAAAAGGAAAAGTTACTTTTACTATTACATTTAAATTATAATTTACTGTATATTCCATTATATTTTTCTTTTAAATGAACAACTTTCACATAAAAAATAAAATACTATATTCAAAATAATATCCCAATATTCATGGTATTTTGTAATTGAAAATAGAATAGAATCAGTTTAAAATAACTCTACAGACCAGATGGCAGTAGAATGATAATTACACAGTGCTAAATGAAAAGACTTCCATCTAAGAATTTCCTACTCAGTCAGGTTATCACTCAGAATTAAAGGAATAGTAAAATATGTTTTTAAAAAACAACAATCAACATTCACTGAAACTAAGTAGAACCTCTAAGGAAAATGTAAGGTTTTTATAGGAAGACCCATTTGAAATTAATAAAACATGAAATTAACAAGCTATAGATGATAATATTGTACCAATTCTTTGTTATGTCTCTGCTCTTGATAAAGTTTTAAATTTCAGATAGTATTAATTTCAGTTCTGAGTTAATTTTTTAAAAATTAAACTTACCGGGGCTGGAGCAATAGCACAGCGGGTAGGGCGTTTTTCTTGCCCGCGTCCGACCCGGGTTTGATTCCCAGCATCCCGTATGGTCTCCCGAGCACCACCTGCAGTAATTCTTGAGTGCATGAGCCGGGAGTAACCCCTATGCATTGCTGGGTGTGACCCAAAAGAGGAAATAAAAAGAAAAAATTAAACTTACTTCTGTTTTGAAAGAAAACTTTTTGAACTTTTAAGGTATTCTATTGTAGTTTTTGAAGTATGGTTAATTTTACACAGGCTTTTTAAAAATTATTTATTTATTTTGCTTTTTGGGCCACACCCAGCAGTGCACAGGGGTTATTCCTGGCTCTGCATTCAGGAGCGGGCCCAGTAACGTCTCTATTGGAGACTTTGTTGTTACTGTGTCTGGCATATCGAATAAGTCACAGGGAGCTTGTCAGGCTCTGCCGTGCGGGCGAGATACTCTCGGTAGCTTGCCGGGCTCTCCGAGAGGGGCGGAGGAATCGAACTCGGGTCGGCCATGTTGGCTGCGTGCAAGGCAAACGCTCTACCGCTGTGCTATCGCTCTACTCCCGGGACTATATGGGATGCTGGGAATCGAACCCGGATCGGCTGCGTGCAAGGCAAATGTCCTACCCGCTGTGCTATTCTTCAGCCCCCTTTACTCAGGCTTTAAAATTTATGCTCACAATTGTTTCTTACAATCACTCTAATATTGGAGTGGGAAGTCCACAGTGAAATGTTCAGTTTCATTAATGATGGTGACAATTAGCCTCATTGGCTCTCTCCCTGTCTTTCTCTTGTTAAGGATTTACCAATTTTATTAATCTCTAATAAAATCTTTTGGTTTCCTTGATTTTCTGTTAGTTTTCTGTTTTAAAATTTCTTGATTTCGACTTGCAAGTTTCCTGTTTCATTTGGTGCTTAAATGGAATTTCTTGTGCTCTCCCTTTTCTAGACCTAGAGGTGGAAATATAGATTATTGATTTAAGAATTTCTCCTATTCAATATTATAAATATTATATATATATATGTCTTAGGACCAAAGAGTTAGTACAATAGGTAGGATGCTTATCTTGCTTGCACCCTAAACACGCAATATAGTCTGCTAAACCTTGCTATGAGTGATCTCTAAGTTCACCATCAGGAATAAACCCTGAATAGCATGAGGTATGGTCCTAAAACCAGTGTTTGTGTGTGTATGTGTGTGTATGTGTGTGTGTGCACGTGAGAGAGAGAGAGAAAGAGAGACAGAGAGAGAGAGAGAGAGAGAGAGATTTTTAATATAATTAATTTAACTCCAATAACTTTGTTCAAAATATTTTCTATTATTCTTTGGAAATACCTCCCCTACTTTTACCCGTAGAATGGAAGTATAAATCTTTAGTATTTAAATACTTCGGTATTTCTATAAAAATTATCTTGTATTTTACTGTTATGTATATACAGTTCTCTTATAATTATACATTGTATGAATTAAATTTTTCTAAATTCACAAACATTGTGGGCCTTCTGGTATTGTACTCTGGGAAATACTTACAATTATCAATATTATCTCAATATATTGACAAACTCATGTCAAAATATATTTCACCTAAATCTATTGATAAGGAAACATAAAAAAAAATGAATCCGGATTTGAAAAAAAAATTTGATACAGTCTATTTGGATAGGAAAAGGCAGGTAGGGAGTTAACAACAACAAAAAATCCAACCTTGCCATGTTGTGTCTGTCCAGACTCCAAACAAATATTTGGAAGGGCGTGAAGCACAAGCATGGAAGGCACTGCACTTGAGCCCCAAAATACTGTCCCTCCAACACCAGGACTTCCTATTTCACTGTGAGGCATCCCTAAGAAATCATTTGATGTACAGCAGTAATAGACAGCACAACTGTGTTCTAACCATAATGTGTAAACATAATCTGGACTGAACATTCCTCTCCTTTGACTCCCAGAGAGAGGGCTGGGTCCAAACAGGTCTATAATATGTCTTTCAGAGGCTTGTGAGGACAGATATAACCAAGCTTCATAATAGGTCCTACTCTAGATTTGACTTGGCCTTCATGTCCTTTGTTTGTTGCTAGTTTTGTATAAAAAAAATTTGGGGTGGGGGTGGGGCACCCCATGCAGTACGCAGAGCTTATTTGTGGCTTTGCTCAGAGATCACTCCTTGGTGTTCAAAGAACCATATATGGCTAAAAGGATTGAACTAGAGTTGATTGCATGCAAGGCAAACATCTGAAACCTTAAACTCTATCTCAGGCACATGTCCTTTATGTTTTGCTCTCTTATGATTTCCTTTGCACATAGACTTTCTGCCATCTAACAATGCTTTTTCAGCCACCTAGTAGAATCTTCTTTCTCCCTAATACCCTATAGTACCATCATTACACACACTTCTAAAGGTACAGAAGTAAGATAAATAAGACAGATTTGATCTCATGAGTGTTGGCTAATACACACTTCATGTAATCTTGTATCTAGTCTTTTACAAATATCTCCATTTACTAACTGAACTTCCATAAAAAATAGTTTCTCAAACATTTTCCAACTGTAAGGATGAATCCTCTGCACTGTAGCCAGAGTGATGAGAGTAACACTTTTCTACTTGAATGTTCTATGTAGGAATGTTAATGATGAAACAATTTGGTTTTTGTGGAGAGACACTTTCACATAAGGAGGATGAATGAATTCCCAGGTCTCTATGAAAATCCTATATCCACTATAAACTCTCCAAAGAGTCTCTAAAAACTATTCACATAGAGCAGAACACTCTTCAGATCATAAGCCACTAGAATGTAAAATATTAGCTTCAGGAGGATGCCTTCCTCTTCCCATTACTGAAGATTCCTGTTCCTCGTAGTCAGAATGCTTATGTAACATAACAGGAAGATAACATTTTTTTTGCAGAGTAATCCAATATAGATTTAGGAGACAAAATATTTTCTATATCTGCAAAAGCTGTACCCTGGTCCAATGTCAAAGGATAGCAGTTTAAAAAAAAAAAACATCCCTGTGAAACACTTTTCCAGTGGAAAGATAACAACTAAAAACGTGATTTTTAAAAATGGAAAAGCAAAATTAGGTAAAGGAAAATTACTTTACAGGAAAAATTTCAGGAACTCCTTATAAACACTGGATTATGTTATTTAAAAGTAAGTAATTTCAGTAACAGACTTGGCTATGGTCGTTGTGAAATATTATGGGAATGACAGAGTGGTGCTGGGAATAGGTACAGGGTATCACAGGCATACAAAATATTTACCCCACTGCTGAGCCTAACAGCAAGAGATCTATGTTTTACTCTTTAATAGTCACTTTGAACAGTGACTATCTAGTAATGAAATTATGCTCTCAAGCAATTTTCTGTATTATTTAAGTTTCCTCCATGTGTTGTATAATGTTTATTGTTAAGGGATAAAAAAATATAAGTTCATGTTTGAACTTTGTTTGCTATAAATGAGCAATAATTTTTGCCAAGAAAGTTTATTAGTTACTTGATT